CCATGATCATTTCCTTACATTTACCATGATCAGTTTCTTAATGTTCACCATGAAAATTTTCCTTCTGTTCACCATGATCAGTTTCCTTGTGTTCACCATGATCAGTTTCCTTGTGTTCACCATGATCAGTTTCTTTCTGTTCACCATGATCAGTTTCCTTGTGTTCACCGTGATTAGTTTCCTTGTGTTCACCACGATCAGTTTCCTTGTGTTCACCACGATCAGTTTCCTTGGGTTCACCACGATCAGTTTCCTTGGGTTCACCATGATCAGTTTCCTTGGGTTCACCATGATCAGTTTCCTTGTGTTCACCATGATCAGTTTCTTTCTGTTCACCATGATCAGTTTCCTTGTGTTTACCATGATCAGTTTCCTTGTGTTCACCATGATCAGTTTCCTTGTGTTCACCATGATCAGTTTCCTTGTGTTCACGAGCTTTTCAGGTATCCTTAAGTCTTACATTTATCATTACTTCTGTGGTGAAAGTTTCAATTTTTTCATGGCTGGCAGATTTCGTTATTTCCTATTGTTCATTTACATTTTGTTAGGGAGCATGAGGATAGCTTATGTAGACTTAGAGAGCATGGGAAGGTGTAATACATAATGATACATAACATCATCATTTTAGTATTTTTTTGTTTGTTAAGGAACATAAGGAGATTAAATTAATATGATTAATTTTGGAATACCAGATGTACAGTGTTGAAGAAAGTGTCGAAATTGAATGTCAATTATTACATATGAGTTATGAACCCACATCCTATGCCTCGTTTCCATGAAACTCCTCCCCCCCCCCCCCCCCCCCATCTTCAGCAGTAAAGTTAACTTTTTAAAAAAAGCTGATGGTACTAGTAACAGTCTGATTGTATGTCTGTCACGCCCCTCCTTCGAGTGTTGAGGCTCGGCCAGATCCCCTGGTCACCACTTGCACCATTCTCTTTAGATCAGGATGATCTTTTTGTGTCTCCCCACGTTTTACTCGCTCCCAAAGAAGCCTTATAACATCTAGCTTGTCATGTATCAGTTTACCACCACGCGATACAGAAACAGCCAGGCTATATGCCTGTTCATTTCCCATCACACTGGGGAGTGACCAGAAAAAAAAAAACACATAAATTGTTACGTAGAAAAGGGTTACTAAATGTATTCTGTTGAAAAGCATGGGGCAGTAACATTCAACTTTACACAACATGGAGATACTAAATGTACTCTGTTGAAGAGACTATTGAATGAGGAGATAAAATGTGCATTACTACATAGCATAGAGATAGCAAACTTATTATGTTAAAGAGTATTGGGGGGGGGGGGGGGAAGGATACAACATTTACTTATAACAGGAAGTATTCTCGGCTCGCTAGCGTAGTTGGCTAAACCAGAATAATAATAACAGGAAGTCAATATTCACATTGTTACATAGCATAAGGAGGCAAAACACATTGTTTACATATCTTAGGGGGACACAGTCCATACTGTTTAGTGCACGGCGGTAAATGTTCTAGTTCACTGGTCAGTGCATTGTTAAGAACACTTCATTGACTTGACATTGGATGGCCTAGCTTGTAATTCTAGCTGATTGTAATTACAGTGGATCCTTGTTTCTGTTCTACATAACATTTTGTGCTTTGTGTTAAGTGTTGAGAACTAACACCCCCTCCTTTCTGCCCCATGAGACCTGATCATGTGTGTTCTTTACACAAATCAAGGTGTCTGTCTGTCTTTCTTTCTTTCTTTCTTTCTTCTGTCTGTCTTTCTTTTTTTCTTTTCTTTCTTTTTCATGCTTTCCTTCTCCCTGAGCTATTTCTTTTTTTTTTAAATTTCCTTCATTAATCTTTCTTTCTTTTTTTTTTTTTTTTTTTTTTTTTTTTTTTCTTTCTTTTTTTTCTCCCCCTCTCCCTGTTCTTTCTTTCTTTTTCTTGTCTAGCCTCTCTCTCTTTAATTTGCAGCTCTTGTAGAGCTAGTTAAATTTGTTCATGACATTTTTCTGGATTGTTCAATGCTAGCCAGCTAGTTAATGGCTTATTTTGAAGATGCTATTTATCAATGTAGTATAATTAACAGTATTTATGATGTTATACTATGTTCATATGCCTGCTTCGTCTTAAAGTTTGGATTGCTCAGTGATATGCTTTTGTTGTAATAATAGAAATTGCTGTGAGTTTTCATTTAACTACTAGATATGCTTCAGTAGTTTAAATAGCCAGTCAGTATTTCTTGTGTTTGTAACAACTCACGAACATTGCTTTAGTCTCAGGAGTGTAAAATGAAGAAATATTCATTTGTTGTACTATTTTCTATTAGTATACAAGTTTAGAATGTAAACTTCATGTGAAAAAATTGGTTAAAGTTATCTTCAGTTTAGCAAATGCAAACAGCATTTTTAAAACTTGTTATCTTGACTGTGATTACCCTGCGGTGAAGCGGGTGCTGTGTTTGTTGAATTATTAAGTTCCATCTCTGATTCTCTTCTCTTGTCTTTTTAGATCTTTCTCGATTTGTTGCACTGAATTTCATAAAAAGGACTTTCTAGCTGTGTTGTTAACAGATATTTCTAGTGCACTTCTTAATCTCCACATTAGTGTATGTGTCATGCCATTTTAATCCTTCTGTTTTCTGTGCAGGCACCATTTAATAAATGTTTGTAGTTTGTTAGTAATTGTTTCAGCAGACCTCCAAGTTTTTGATCCATTCTACCAATAGTTGTAAGAATGCTGAAGTGTGCCTTTCTGAAAGTATATTTAGTTCTTCTGCCATTTATTTCTACAGTAGAATGTAGACCCTCAACCAGTTCATACCAAGTGGTCCTATTTTTTGTTTTGCTCACTCCATGTCTGTCCTCAGCATACTAATTCCCTTCTGTGTGTAATTTGTGGTCTGGCTTTATTTCTGTGACTCTGGTTTCCAGTTTAAAGACATTCTAGTTGCGTTGATCTCAAGTTTTCTCATTGTATGCCCTATCCTTCTTCTTAGCATTCTTCGGATGTAAAGTTCTGGTTGTTTGTCCACTTCTGGACTTTGGTCGTGTTCCAGAACTTGAGTTTTGCAGTTTTGTGTGCACATCTGTTTTATAGATCTGGCTTATTTATATGCAGGCTGTTCCTTGCCTCTTAGGCAGACGAACTTTGAAGGACGTGTTGTATCCAGTGCCTGCATCTTTTCTTCACCTATTGATTCACCGAATTGGGGTTCCCCCTCTCTAAAGCCTTTATACTGGTGATTCTGTTATGCCACATAATTCACTCTATTCTGCACAGGTGCCAGTTAATGAATGTCAACTGTTTATTGATAATTGTTTTTGTCTCCATCTCTCTGATCCATACAGCAGTACTGATTTGGCATTGGAGATAAATATTTTAAATTTAGCATAAGTTTTAATTTCTTTTGACATCCACAGAAAGAATATTAGGTTAGGAACAATGTTTTTCTGGCAGCTCGACCATTTTATGCCTTTATTTTATGTGTGCATCTTGTTTGTATTGTCTTTTGCAGAGTAAAGCATCTTGCTCTTTGTTGATAGTTAATGTTGTTTGTGAACTGGTCAGTGTTGTACACCTTCTCTGTGAGATCCTGATTCTGTGGGTACCAGCTTGCGATTACTTGAAGATGCTGTCCTGAAAAATACCAGTTTAATGCAGCCATTGTTTTGAGTCCAGAGTTTGTAAAATAATAACATGATGTGGTAGACTGAGGAGAACTAACAGTTTGCACATATTGAGGTAATGCAGCGACTGTTTGCAACAGTATAGTCAGACATGTGTGCCGTCTGTGGTCTCTCTAATAAATGGATGAGGAGTTGCATGGTACCAAAGGAGTCGAAGGTTCTGTTAATTTAATGCCTAGCAAAGTTTAGCAGTAATTGCATTCTTCTATCAACTCTGTTGTCCAGGTTGCCGCTGGTCATTTTTCTGTCACAGCTGATTTTTAAACCTGATCTTGTCTTCCTGGCCGGTTCAGTCTAAAAATTAGTACCAAAATACTTGTTGAAAAATAATTTTTGTTGTTGTTTAAATGTCAAGGTAAGTAAAGGACCCTTTTCCACGTCTTAAGGGGCATTGGGCAAATAGAGCTAGACCTATATATTTAATAGACCAATCCGAACTTAATGGGTGATGTGGTCAGATTCACGCCAGCCGCCTTTACTTTCCAGGACTCCCCCTGGTACCCACTCAAGGCTGGGTCAACCTGGGAGCCAAGGGCAGTTTTGAAAAACACCACAGCGGCTCCCAGAATATTAAGGTGGCTGATGTTATATTATTTTGACTGCATCACTCACTGCATGCCGACTGATTTATATAATAGTATAGAAGTGTCACCTTTTGTCCATTGAACCTGAAGGCAAAGTGACAAGTCCCATACTTGTGTTATTACCGTCGACATCCTAGCCACTGTGCTTCCATGGCTCCCCTTCCACTTTGTAACACCCATCTGCAGAGGTTGGTGGATGAAGAAGTAGGGACTTCTTCTTAAAGTCTATGCCATGTGGTGTTTGTAGTCATGTCAACAACCTTCTGTCTCATGTACTTTCAATCAACTCTTGACACAGATGATCCTCCATGCCATGATGTCAGACTGTCCAGCATTTGTTCTCTTGGTCTCCCTATGCTTCTCCTCCCCTCCAACTTTCTTACTGTCATGATGTACTGACAAAGTATGGAAATATATACATATATACTGAATGTGCAGCAAGTTGTGTAGAAACATTGATACAACAGAATCTGAGATGTTGAACCGCCTGTTGGAAATTGGTGTTAAACGGGAACAATCTTGCAAAAAATGGTTGCGTGGTCACACACACACAAAAAAGGTCACAGTTCTAACTCGTACTGGGTACATTCAACTTGGAGACAACAGAAATAGCTGCTGTATCTGAGGACAGCGCACAGATGGATGGGACTGATGTGCTAGGATGTTGATACGGCCTAGTGACAAGTTTTGTCACATGTTTGTGATAATTTAGTTAATGACATTGTGATTGATTTAGTATTCTGCCTGTTTATTTTCAGGGCTATTACAAGGACACAGTAGAATTTTTCTTTGAAACCAGGGACAGGTGCAAGCTGTTCTGGAAGAGGTGCATTGAGCATCATGCTTTCTTTCGGTGCCAGGTAGTGGCCAAAGTACCACGTAACAAGACACGGGTGGTCAGCCGAGGCTCTTCTTTCAGGTATGTTATAGAGAAACTCGGTAGGGACTTGATTAATAGAATCAGAACAGATTTTGACAGGATTTTTTGACATTTGGACACTACTAGTAGCATATATATTTAATATATTAGTAATCTTTCCTGCTTGAGAGTGATTAAAATGGGAAAAGTTTGTAAGAGAACCAGTCAGCACAGAACCAGTTCAGAATTACATACAAAGACAGCAGATTAAACGGTTTGCTCACACAGATTGCCTTGTCTTCTTCTTCTTCTTCTTCTTCTTCTTCTTCTTCTTCTTCTTCACATTCACCGGCTGTAAACTCCGGGGGAAAGTTCTGGTTGTTCGTCCACTTCTGGACTGCAGTCCTGTTCCAGAACCTGAGTGTTGCATGTGACTAATTTGTATGCAGACTGTTGATTCTTTGCCTTTCAGGCAGATGCACTCCGACTTGGAAGAAGCTCCCAATTAGTTGACTCTTACAACATGCTTGTGGGTAGTCAGTGGGTCTATTCTTGTTTTCCCTATAATAAGGCCCCTGAACCCACACTGGGAAGAATACCTTGTGATGCCAGACTATGTCAGGTGTACACCAATGGAGTAGAGGGATGTAGAGCTTGATGTAGACCAAGAACAAGATGGACAAATAATATCAGACAAACTCGACAACAGCATGTTTTGTCTCTGGTCGTGGTGCAGAATCTTAGATTTCCCTCTATACCTGAAATGATTAAAACAAAACAAAAAGGGAGTTAAAAAGAAGTAATATTCCCCATGCAGGCTCTGGGGACCCACTTTGTGGGGAAAAGAATAGATCCACTGCCTGCTAACAAGCATTTCATTTTCAGACTGTTAACAAATTTAGTAGGAGATTGGCAATAACAGTGAAGAAGAGGACTTCTCAAACTAAGAACAAAACAGCACCATAAAGCAGATAACAAACGTCTTAACTCAGAAATGTAAATTATGGACCGTTTCACAGTCACTAAAGAAGAAATCAAGTCTTTTGAACCTGAATCTTACTTGGCTTGCTTTGCAGAAAAAAAATTGTTGTGTTCAACCAGCATCTCCGAAGGGGGAATTTTTGGTTATAATTGTGACTAGGTTATATGCACCATTTAAAATTGCTTAGCAGTGCACACCACCATGTAGCTCTGGAAAGAACTTTTGCAGTGCTGATGTGATCAAAGGAGACAGACCCAAATACAGTCCTGACCGGCGATGAAGTCATCTACCAGCCAGCCAATGGGCGACCCAATAGCCGATAAAGTTGAATGTTACTGTTGAATGTTAAGGAAACTTCTGAAAATACCTTGGATCTAGAGGCACCTCTCCCCTTCCCCCTTGAAAAACCACAACAGCCAAAAAATGCTGAGGTAGATTCTGCAAACACCCTGCAAAGAGTACGCAACTAACTAATTTTACTCAGTGGCAGAAACATTGGAAAATGGGGTCAGTCACGGGCCTTTGTCCGGAGCCCCAGCATAAAAAGATCATTAATACAGTAGAGATGGCAGGTGACCCACTAAACATGCAGGCCAGATTTGGCCATTGGGTTGCCAGTGAATAGCCCTGGTCTAAAGAATCTAAACCTTGATAAATCCAGCACTTAAGGTGGTAATCATATCTTCAAAATTGAAGAGGTTACACCACAACAGATGTCACAGTCATAGAAATATCAATAATAAATGAAAGTTAATGACTTGACCTAGAGCAACCATCAGCAAATTCAAATAAGCTTTTGTTATTGTTGTAGATACTGCGGACGGACTCAGAAACAGCTGGTAGAATTTGTTCGGGAAAACATTGGCAAACGGCCTCAGTTTGAGAGGTAAGTACTGGCTTTTCAGTGTTTGTGGTATTGTATTTCCTGTGTCCATGGCAGTCCCTAGGTCCACCAGGGAGTCAGAGACCAGTCTTAGAAACAAAGTCTTATAGCTTTAAGCGTGGGCTGCTTTCTGATCATTCCCACTGACTAGGGAAGTGTTGAACCTTGAATGTAGATTTGTGTCTAAGGACCTGATTGACGGACAGTTTTTTTCTTTCTTTCACCTCCAAGACTGCTACTTGATGATTAGTCACCATCAGATGGTAATCCAATAGCAGTCCCTATAAGAGCACTGTCATACTGGAATAATCATCGTGTCTTGTTAGGGTACTATCCTGTAATATCAGTTACTATATACCAGTACCAGTTCCTTTGACCAAATAGTTGTTTTAAAGCCAAGGTGACGTCATTTTTTCTGTAAGCCTTAGTGATAGAGGTCACAGTTCATGGCCTGAGTCACCAGATACATATTTGTTTTTTTAAGCCCAGGAGAATGAATTCCATTTGATGCTTCACTCTGTTTGTGTTTATTGACTATTTCCTTAATATATCTTTATATATTTCAAGGGGAAATGTAAATAAATAAATTTTTTATAAAAATTTATTTTGGAAAAACTATTTTTCTGGAATTCCAACAGGGTTATGATCCATAATTTTTAGTGTTTCTGAAGTCAGAGGGTGAAGAGCTAGCTGTTAACCTGTCTTGAAGAGCACTATATCTAATGAGCAATCACCATAACGTGTAAGAGCACTGGCTTTTGAAAGACATCACCATGTATTTTAACAGTAGTTTATAAGAGCAATTATAATGTCCTATAAGATCTGACATCCTGTAAGAGCAGATGCTATTTCCTGAGATCACCATCATATTTAAAAATAATCATATCTTGTGTGAACACTTATTTTACAATGGCAGTCACCGAGCCACGTAAGTGAACTGTCTTGTAATAGGGGTCATCATCATCACTATCACTATCACTACCACCAGCCTGTTGTCTTCTGGCCTCCAGTCTAGTCCACCAATTTTGTTCCATCATGTGCAGTCATTTCCATGTCATGGGTGAAATACCATCCAACAGGTTTAGCTTCTTTCAGCATCATTTGGGCTTAGGACTCCTTTTGGGCATCATTCTGTTTCCCATTTCAGTTCCTGTTTAGTAGTTCTCCGCTGGCTTCTTCTCAGAATCTGTCCATTACAGTGTCGTCTTCTTTGTCTTGTAACTGTTGATGTTATTGTTTGTCCAGACATTACTTTTTAAGTTCTTACCTTTCTTGAATTCATCCCATGTAGTATTCATCAGTGGCTAGACTCTGGCTTGCGGATCTGGAGGTTGTGGCGGGTAAAAAACTGTCCTGTAGCGGTTATTGGGGCATCACTGGCAGTAAAAACTCCGGCAGAAAGATCTGTTTTTTTCATCCATTTCTGTTCTTTGGTCTTGTTCTGGAATTTGAGTGTTGCTTATAGATCTGTCTTACTTTTATGCTGACTGTGGGCTCTTCTCACTGATCAGAATAAGAAAAAAATTAGCCCAGCATGCTAGCTAAGTTGGTTAAACTAGCTGCGCAGTGACCGGGTGGTCCGAATTCACGCTCAGGGTCTGGCAGAAAAGCCACATATTTTTCCAGATTGATGGTATCTGTCATGGAATCAAGGCTGAGGGGTTGCGGTATCCCTAGTACTGAGCCAAAGGGTCATGGTTTCTGGATTTAAAAAAAAATCTTGCCACTTCTGAGGATTGAACCAGAAACACTACTCAGTATGCAGGTGCACTAACCATTATGCCCTTGCAGCTCTTTTACAGAAGTAGAATTAGCTGTTTGCCATTGTGTGCATTTATTTCAATACCTCCTATTATTTAGACACACACACCTTGAATTGTTGACAATAATATTGTTTGAATAATCAGAACACAGCCAATGCACTTGCACAGTTTTCTGCCTTGCCTGTTTCGTTAATTGTATCTCACATCAACATGTAATGAAGTCCCAACAATTAATTTTTTAAAGTTAAATACACATGTCACATTGCCTCTTTCTACACTGTACATCCAATTGAAGGAAGTCTAAGATTAACCACTTGATCACTACTGAAGTTTTAGATTATCCACTTGATTACTACTGGAGTTTTAGATTATCCACTTGATCACTACTGAAGTTTTAGATTATCCACTTGATCACTACTGAAGTCTTAGATTAATCACATGATCACTACTGAAGTCTGAGATTAACCACTTGATCACTACTGAAGTCTTAGGTTAATCACATGATCACTACTGAAGTCTTAGATTATCCACTTGATCACTACTGAAGTTTTAGATTATACACATGATCACTACTGAAGTTTTAGATTAATCACATGATCACTACTGAAGTTTTAGATTAATCACATGATCACTACTGAAGTCTAAGATTAACCACATGATCACTACTGAAGTCTTAGATTAACCACTTGATTACTACTGAAGTCTTAGATTAATCACTTGATCACTACTGAAGTCTTAGATTAACCACTTGATCACTTCTAAAGTCTTAGATAAATCACATGATCACTACTGAAGTCTAAGATTAACCACTTGATCACTACTGAAGTCTTAGATTAATCACATGATCACTACTGAAGTCTTCGATTAACCACATGATCACTTCTGAAGTCTTAGGTTAATCACATGATCACTACTGAAGTCTTAGATTATCCACTTAATCACTACTGAAGTCTTAAATTAATCACATGATCACTACTGAAGTCTTAGATTAACCACTTGATCACTACTGAAGTCTTAGATTAATCACTTGATCACTTCTGAAGTCTTAGATTAATCACTTGATCACTACTGAAGTCTTAGATTAATCACATGATCACCACTTAAGTCTAAGATTAACAACATGATCACTACTGAAGTCTTAGATTATCCACATGATCACTACTGAAGTCTTAGATTATCCACATGATCACTACTGAAGTCTTAGATTATCCACATGATTACAACAGTAGTCTAAGATTATCCACTTGATCACTACTGAAGTCTTAGATTATCCGCATGATCACTACTGAAGTCTTAGATTATCCACTTGATCACTACTGAAGTCTTAGATTATCCACATGATCACAACGGTAGTCTAAGATTATCCACTTTATCACTACTGAAATATAAGATTAATCACATGATCACTACTGAAGTCTTAGATTAAACACATGATCACTACTGAAGTCTAAAATTAAACAACACAATTCCATGTGTTGGTTCCACAGCCCCATTATGGTGTTTATAAGAATGGACTTATGGATTTCCTTTTAAAGTGGATGCATCACCATAAGAGGCAAGGAGTCAACATTTGCTTACAAATCAGCCAGATCTGTTAAATGGATGTGTATGCAAAACTTCAGTTCTGAAACAAGACTAAAGTTCAGCAGTGGAGGAACAGTCAAGACTTTCCACTGGAGATTACAGCCCCCCCAAAAAAAAGAAGAAGAATCACTATGAAAGTCCAAGGTGAACCACATGACACAACCGAATTCCAAGATTAACCACATGGTCACTACGGAGGTCTAAGATTAACCTTAAGATCACTACGGAAGTCTAAGCTTAACCACAAAATCACTATGAAAGTCCAAATTAACCGGGCAATACATTTTACAATGTATTATTTATGTCTTCATTGTTTAAATTTACAATAGGAAAGTGTTGTTTGGAATTATCATGCTTAGCCATGTAGTCGGTGCACATAGAAGATGTGTTTTATCTGCTAAATGTTTTTCTTTTCCACTGCTTTCGTTGTGGATCACAGAACGTAAGTGTGCTTCAGCTTCTTTGTTGTGCTTTAGTTGAGCACCCTTGTCTGTTGTAGGTGACAATGTGTTGATCACTCTTGTTTATTTTAGGTGACCATGTGTTGATCATCCTTGGCCGTTATAGGTGGCCATGTGTTGATCTCTCTTGTCTGTTATAGGTGACCATGTTTTGATCCCTCTTGTCTGTTATAGGTGGCCATGTGTTGATCTCTCTTGTCTGTTATAGGTGACCATGTGTTGATCCCTCTTGTCTGTTATAGGTGACCATGTGTTGATCTCTCTTGTCTGTTATAGGTGGCCATGTGTTGATCTCTCTTGTCTGTTATAGGTGGCCATGTGTTGATCTCTCTTGTCTGTTATAGGTGACCATGTGTTGATCTCTCTTGTCTGTTATAGGTGACCATGTGTTGATCTCTCTTGTCTGTTATAGGTGACCATGTGTTGATCTCTCTTGTCTGTTATAGGTGGCCATGTGTTGATCCCTCTTGTCTGTTATAGGTGACCATGTGTTGATCCCTCTTGTCTGTTATAGGTGACCATGTTTTGATCCCTCTTGTCTGTTATAGGTGACCATGTGTTGATCTCTCTTGTCTGTTATAGGTGACCATGTGTTGATCTCTCTTGTCTGTTATAGGTGACCATGTGTTGATCTCTCTTGTCTGTTATAGGTGGCCATGTGTTGATCTCTCTTGTCTGTTATAGGTGGCCATGTGTTGATCTCTCTTGTCTGTTATAGGTGACCATGTGTTGATCTCTCTTGTCTGTTATAGGTGACCATGTGTTGATCTCTCTTGTCTGTTATAGGTGACCATGTGTTGATCTCTCTTGTCTGTTATAGGTGGCCATGTGTTGATCTCTCTTGTCTGTTATAGGTGACCATGTGTTGATCTCTCTTGTCTGTTATAGGTGGCCATGTGTTGATCTCTCTTGTCTGTTATAGGTGACCATGTGTTGATCTCTCTTGTCTGTTATAGGTGGCCATGTGTTGATCTCTCTTGTCTGTTATAGGTGACCATGTGTTGATCTCTCTTGTCTGTTATAGGTGACCATGTGTTGATCTCTCTTGTCTGTTATAGGTGACCATGTGTTGATCCCTCTTGTCTGTTATAGGTGACCATGTGTTGATCTCTCTTGTCTGTTATAGGTGGCCATGTGTTGATCTCTCTTGTCTGTTATAGATGACCATGTTTTGATCTCTCTTATCTGTTATAGGTGACCATGTTTTGATCTCTCTTGTCTGTTTTAAGGGACCATGAGATGATCACCCTTGTCTGTAATAGGATCATATACATGATAATGTTGATCACCCTTATCTCTTATAGGTGACTATATGTACACTCATTGTATTCTTGCTCAGAATGCTGTTCTTCCATCTCTTGGTTTTTGTCTTTCCCCCTCTATTGCTATCTACTTCTTTGTTTCCTGTCTTAAACTTTTCCATACAAAATGATTTTTTATAAGTGTTATTTCATTTTAGCATGGCCGAGATGTTTTTTTAATGTGACTTTTTCTTTCTTTCAGTGGCCTCCATTTTATTCAGTCTTTACAAATTCTCTGTGAATTGATGATTGATGGTGGGTGGGGTCTAGCATGTTCACATATTCAATGCACAAAGTTCCTAGGCCGAAAACTGAATGACCTTATACTTGAAAATGGGAAAAATGGGTCTAGTGGGAAAACTTTCACAATAGTATGAGAGCCACACTAGTGCAGTGGCTAGCAGCCTGAAGAGATGTTTTTTGTTTGAATCTGAATCATCCCTGTTTGCCTTCTGGGGTCTCATTTTGTTTGGAGAACAAAGAAAACAGTTACTGCCTCCCTAACAAGCGTGTCATAGTAGGCCACTAATTAGAAGTTTTTTACTTTATGGTTAGAGTGCATCTGTCTGAGAGGTAAGGAATCAACAATTTGCATATAAATAAGTCAGATCTGTAAAACAGATGTGCAAGAGAAACTCAATTTCTGAAACAGACCAGAAGTGGATAAGCAGCCAGACCGCCGGTGAATGCTAAGAAGAAGAAAAAGAAAATGGGTGTCGTGGGAAAACTACCACAGTAGTCTGAGAGCCACCCTAGTGCTGTGGCTAACCGTCTGAAGGAATTTCTTGGGGTTCATCTGTGTCAGGGCAGATATTTCTTTTTAAAACCCACATATTGCTCCCAGGTAGACCCATGCTTTAATTGGTTCCAGAAGATGTCCTGGGAAATAAAGGTGGCTAGCATGATATTGGTACCAAGAAAAGACACAAAAATACCAACATCCTGCATCATCAAAGCATTCAGGAGAATTGGTTCATAAACAGTATTCTGTCCCAAGAGCTCAGGTTTATGGTCACATTGAGGATCATGGTGGCCTGGAGAGAACGGTGATGGAGGGTACCGTTTTGGGAAAACAAGGCAGAGGCAGAACTCCACCAGGGTGGATACAAGACTTTGAAGAGGCATTGGGTAGGAAAGCACCTAGGTCTGGAGAATAGGCTAGATAATGATATTTTCAGGAGTGCTGTGACAAAAGCAGCGTTTTGGGAAGAACCTGCAGATTGATGGTGCTATTGACCACATCTCGCATCGGATACCAATTGATCTGTAAGAAAGTTAATCTAGCACTGTGGATGTGAAAGTGATCCTTTACTTTCCACTGTTACCACAGTAGTGTTCCAACAAGATACAGTTTACTGAAAAAGTTGTGCCTTACTAGAAATATATCAAGGGAGCCATCGTCTGTGACTCTAAAATAATATCAGTATTTCTGCATCAGCAAGTTTTTAATTAACTTGTGCCTACATGCAGAACACAGCACTTGTAACAATTATAGCAGCAGATTGGGCAGAACTTGTGCTAATCCATGGTGTAATGGATTTCACAGATTGACTGGGGGAAATGGGTGGCCTTTTCATTTCCAGTCTAGAATATATAATAAAACCAGAGGATAATTGTAAACCCAGTTTGATTATCCTTTTTATTTCAAGTCTTTAATATCCTCCATGGAATGCCTGCACCCTACTGTGAAATCACATTAGGGGCTATCAGAATTGTTTTTGAAAGAAACGTGTTGCATTTTGTGCACCTCATAATGTTACATTCAGAATCTTTATTTATTTACAAGAATATACATTCCTGTGATGTGGTTGTTTCTTGTGACACCATGCCATACACCAAATGAGGAGATGAGTAGATGGACGAAGAGCACAATGTACACCAGAAAACAGTATGGAAAGATAACAACAGAGAAATTGTGTAGAGTCTGTCATACTTTATTACTATTTGTCAGAAGTATCTCTCTTATAAATAACTATTTTCAGTACTTGGTAATGGCCACATTTTTATATAGATCAGGCAGCAGTCAGTAAGTGATGTGGTCAGCATCATAGGTTGGCTACTTTTTCTTCCCAAAACATTTGAGTCGACCTAAGACAGTAGATCACTATCCATAATAGCAGTGCCATGCAAATGAATGGGTTGTCACATTATCTTTCTTAGTCAGTGAGGACAAGGTGCCCATGGGTGCTACCATGATATATTTTGAACTTTTGATTTGATTTGATTCAAGAACCGACATCAAAGCACACGGGGCATTCCCATAAGCACTGCATCCCCATCTTCAGCAGCCAGCGAAGAGTTCCGATGCTAATGGTGCCAGTAGCATTCTGATTAAACGTCCATCTTGCCTTTTATCTGAGCCTCGAGCATCTGCCAGAACCTCTCGTCACTTCCCTCTGCATCAATCTCACCAGACTGGGGTGATCCATCTGCTCCTCTGAACTGTACACACTCTCCCACAAGGCACTAACTACATCTGCCTTAGCATGTATCAGTATTCCACCAAGTTGTGCAGAGCCAACATTTTTGGGACTTTCGTTGCCAACATTCTCCCTGTTAGTGGTTTTCAGATCAGAAGGCATTTCACGGATCATTTCTATGATCTGTCTGTAGCATGTAGTTTGTTGAAATTGAATCATTGTTTTTAATTTGTTTCACAGAGCAACAAGTGGCCGTATATCCAGTCGGAGCACAAGTGTCACACCCAAGTTCTCATCCAAACCCAGCATGCACTCCTCTTCGGCGGATCTACACACTAGTTCGGGCTCACGTTCCAGTGGGTCTCACATTCTAGACAGTAACCACACCCCTGGGAGCGGGGTCTCGAGAGACCACTCGGGCACCCCTCACAGTGCCATGAGAGTGGAGTCGGTGGATGTGCACAGTGACAGCTCCATGTCTGGGTCCCGGTCGCTCAACTCTCCCAGGCTGGAGCATGGCCTCAGCATTGACCAGGATGTCATCGAAGCCGTCAATGCTAGAACTGAAGGTGCCATGACCGACGACGAGGATATCGACGATGTCAAGGACGACGCTTACCACCCCGGCCGAGAAGGGATGTCACATGTGGCCTCCGACACAAAAGGTGCCCATTCTATTCTTTCTCCTGAAATGAACTCACCTGTTCGTTATGTTGGTATTTATTCAGAAGTGGGCTCACCATACTACACCAGGGACGATGGATTCGTCAACCCTGATGTTGATATGGCTTTGCCCGGCGGCTGTGACGGAGCCGTACCTGTGTCCCATCCTGACTTTGATGACCGAGGTGGGATTTACCAGCCTCCACCATCATCAGGTGGCCGCTGCTTGAGTCTTGGTGGTCACATTGGCAGCGAGTCTCAGACAGACTCTAGTGTTGTTTCTGTGTGTTCTAATGTTGTTCTACCAGAGAGTGATCTCAGTAACCAAGTACCAAAGCCTAACCTTGATCTTCAGCTTACTAACATAACATCATCCTCACCTACTGCTTCATCAGCTATATCAGCAGATGGCAGTACAAAAGGTATCGCCCCTCCTTTTATCTCACATCAGTCCAAATCCTCATCTTTGCCAAAATCACCTCCCTCACACACTACTAAACACATCTGTACCACCACTTCTGTCTGCACCTCCTCCACAACTACCACATCACCAATAAATGTAGTCCTGTCAGCCAGTCAAAATGCAAATGACCATGTTAGGGAAAAGGCCAGTATGTCCGTAAAGTCAGATGACCGTGTGTTCAGTAGTACTATATTGGAACAGCCGTCTTCACATTTCCAACCTGTTGTTAATACTAGCAGTGATTTGAAGAAGGTAAGTCCAACAGATTTGGGGCAGCATCAGCGGCCAGCCAAAGTAAAGGATGCAGAGATATCACCGTTTGCATCACCCTCCACACCACTGTCACCACAGTACAAGGACGGTGATATGAAACGAAGCCTGGATGCCAGCCCAAGCTCCTGTGTGATAGACATCGCCCAGAGCCGACAGGATCATAAGGTGAGGCCATCTTCTAGAGTTTCATCTGTAGATTCTAGTAGAAGTAGTCCTGTTTCTGAAGCTAGGGACCAGTCTTTCTTTATCACACCACAGCCTATGGTTCAGGGGGGTGATAGTGATCAGAATACCAGAGCAAACACAGACACCTCAGATACAACACCTCCGCAGACTACACTTGAAGAGGAACATACAAAAGGCAGCAGTGATACTAAGGAACCAAAATATGAGAAAACCAATCTCAAGAAGCTCTGTCCCAATGGGGAGATAGTTGGAGCTGGCTTGCCAAAGAAGGATGAATTGGAACCCGATAAAGGAGTAACCCGTAAGTTATCTGCAGGTACTGATCTTATAGAAGACATTCCTTACATCTTGCACCGCAGGCTGGATGGACAGAAGGAAGAGACTGCAGTTTTCAAGGTCTCGGAGGCAGATAAATTAAGAAGACAGCGAAGTGCCAGCCCAGGAGTTAAAGGGGCTACATTGTCTTGTCTCCCGCAGAAACAGAAATCAGTTGATTATCATTTTGGTCAAACATCCAGATACACAGACAGACGAAGCATGAGCCCAGAGGAGCTTGCTATCAGAAGCAGTACTTTGCCCAGCAGTGGGAAACGTAAAGTTCTTAAGAATAGACCCTCTCTGGAAAAGTCACCCTCATTGAACAGGCGTCTGGAGTTTGTCAATGTCCATAAGCTGCCATCCAGAACTAGCTATTCTTCTGTAGATGATACAACCAGCCCATCAGGGGATCTAGAAATACTGAAGCATCTGGAGCAGCAGGGGACAGGCACCAGAGCAGGTACTGTGAAAGTCTGGGAAGCAACTGTTGTCCTTACCACTATAACCTCTCAGACAGGTGTTCAGGACCAGGCAGACACTGCCTCGGTAACTGCGGACACCACCAAGGATGTCAGCGAACAAGCGGTTTGTTCAGCAGTTGCTACAAACATTGAGAAACCAGTTGAGAATGGGAATGCAGGTTCAGAAGTGCTGTTACCAGAGCACACACAGGTTCACAGTGCTGACATCGAAGGTCCAGAGACACTACACCTTGCAGATGAGACGACTGATATAACCAAAGAGCCAGATGTGGGGCAAGGGACTCAAGAAGTAACTGATGTGAAAAGTGATGACGCACCCTGCACAAGGACAGAGGAAGCTACACAGCTTGATAACGAGGAGGATATAAGCTCCTCAGCACCAGTGGACTCTTCACCAGCAGGTGAAGCAGTTGCAGAAGTTGCAGCTTCAGTGCCTGTTTCTTCAGAAGTATCAGATAATGTACCACTTGCAGTACTTGATAACACTGACACAAAACCAGATATCCAGTTCCAGGAACCATATTTTGAAATCTCCAAGCCACAGCCTTGCCATGGTTATAACAAATCCACTGATGCACTCATTCCTTCAATTGAAAGTGATAAAAATGTACACAGTGATGTTCCTATGCTAAAGCCAAGTCCAGTCAAACCATCAGATATAGCATTGAATACTTTTGGTAAGCCTAGCTCAGCAACCATCCCCGGGTCTGAAGAGGATGCCGTTTTACAAACAGCTGATGCCAGTGCTTGTGCCCCTACAAGCTCACAAGATGTCAAAGAGGGGCAGAAGTCTCAACGAGCTCCACACCTATCCAGGGTGGACAGAACCTCAACATCCAGCACCTCGTCCAGTTCAGATAACAACCAGTTTCTCATTGATCTCCCTTCACCTGCTTCAGCTTTGTTCTACAGTGATAGCGAAAGCCCTCCCACGTCACAGGCTGAAAATGAAACTCTGAAAAAGACGCTGACATTCTCCACCTTCAGGCCTGACCCTGTGGAGGAAGTTGTGAAAGCTGACGAGCCGGCCACAGTCAAAAGCTGTAGATGGTCTTTGCATAATGTGGAAGAGGACGAAGAGCCAACTGACTATGAGGTGATCATGGAAGAGGGAGTTGTAGAGAAAAGTGCCCTGAAGAAGCGCACCTGTGATGAGACAGACAAGCCAAGAGAGCCAAAACGAGTCAGCTGGCATGAAGACAGCGATGTGCAGCACAGCTACCACAGTGATTTAAGCATGACCGCTCAGCGGAGTCCTGTAGATGAATGTGACCCACACCTATTTGGTGAAGCCACCAGCCCAGTGGACTCTGGAAACATTTTAGAAACTCTGGAAAACCTCAGGCGGGAGAATTCTGAAAGCGACATGACCAATTCTGGCAGTTCTGATAACTCTTTTATCGACAGCGACACAGAAGCCAAAAATAAAAGTAATCCGAAACATATCTATTTCCAGTATGCAGCTTCCAAAGGGTTGTGCGCAAGCACTATTGATTCAGGTGTTGGGGGTTTGAGTGAAGGAGGTCGAAGTCAAGGTCATGAAAGTTCTCCGCTTGAATCCTTAGAACATCTGGATTCTATGGAGGGAAGTGGGGCAAGTTTTAGTGAGGGAAGGTTTAAAATTCAGGATGATGCAATCAAATTACATCAGGACAGCTCACCTTTAGAACCTCTTGAGAAGCTGTGTGGACTGCGAGTGGATAATTTTGATGATGAAGGAGAAGCAGATGATGAAGATGATGAGCCAAACTTCCCCCCACCACCACCGATACTGGAAATACCTGAGGAAATGATGGTTTCTTATGAAGGTGATCTGCCTCTGCCAGACTTAACTTTCTCTAGTTCGGATAACCTATCTGGCATGGAAGCGAGGGTGTTCTCCCCATTTATACCTTCATCTGCAGCTTACTTGAGCGATAGTGACAATGAAACAAAAACAGGTGCACGAGGAGGTGCCTTGAAAAAAAGAACTGGTGATCCTCTAGCCTGTCTGGACTTTGGAGACCTTGTTGGTGAAAAGCATTGTACCACCAGTGAGAGTGAGAGTGATTTTGATGCTGAGGAGGCCACCATTCATCTTAGGAGAACGTCTGCCAGCAACATCACACCCAGGGATGTGGGCGACATTGTTGCACGCAGCACCTCCCAACCAAGGCCAGTCTCTGAGGCCAGGCAGAAATCCTTTGCTGGTAAATCCATGGTACCTGGATTGAAAAAATTGTCAGAAAAGCCGCAAGTGATGCCCAAACCATCCATGCAGCGTCAGCTTAGCCAGGCTGCAAAAGAAAGTGGTCACTCTGCCCATTCGCTGCATATTGTTCAGAAGTCTGAGCCTTTGCTGCCAACAAAATCTGGACCTACGCCGCCCCCGCCAGTTTACCCTAAGCCACAACCGCCACTGGTCCAGCCCAGACCAGGCCCCATCAGGCAGCCACAGATGGGCAAGGGGAGGCATTTTGAGAGAACAAGGCATAAATCCTCATCGTCGTCATCATCATCATCATCATCATCTTCATCTGAACCATGGCAACAGCATCGTCCTTCTGCTAGTTGATAAGGGCTGGAGATTTTTAAATATCAGGATCTGTGATGCCAGTTGGCTAAGTTTTTTTTGTGTTTGTTTTTTAAGCAGATGATGTTGGATATTGCAGAGATGTATAATATTATTTAAGGTTAACTACTGATACACGTACGCACAGTCACATACATAGATATCTGCATCTGTACATATAATGACCACACTGACAATTAGACACACACACATACCCTGACTCAAGTACATGCACAGACAAATGTATACATACACACAAACACACACACACATTTGCGCACTGACATAATGACCCCAGATACACACACTACAACATTACAACATATATACACTTTTATTTGTGCATGCAATGACAACATAATGAAGCACACATGCACCTGTGTGCGCATTCACATTCACTGGATACACTGGCTGATATTGTACTTCCACTCATAAGATACCAACAAAACATGCTGAATAAACACCTAGGCTGAGTACACACACTTGCACTGACATACACACTCTCACGTATCCTTCCATAATGAAATGTATCCGCTTTAGAGTATGTGGTAATATGTCCATCGTCTACATGAAACCCTCATATGTTTTCACTAAATGTTCGTATGTCTGCCTGGGATCTAGCTTTGAGATCTACTAGGGAAAGACAGTAGAGTGGTGGGTAGTGTACTGGGTGACCGACGGAAGCAGCTCAGGTTCGGTTACAAGTTAGAGTAGAATCTCAGCCTGCTG